CTCCCTTGGCGTTGACCCTCCGTCTGTGTGCCGCTCCCTCAGTTCCTGTGCTGGTGATGTTTTCTGTTTTCCTCCAGCAGTGGGTGTGAAATGTTTCAACCTGTTTGCGAAAGCGTGCTGTGTATTTGTGTAGCTGCAGGGCACGTTGTTCAATTCTCCTGTGGAATGTGGGTGTTGCTGGCTGGGTGTAAAGGACACTGTAGTTCACTGTAAGCCCCATTGGTTAGAGGACATTAGGGAGCCAGGTGGAGTTTTACACAAGTGATAACGTTGTCCTTTTCCTATTGGACTCGCTTTTAATTAAAGATTTACATCGAAGTAAAATTTCACCATCTGCCATGGTGTAATTTGAACCTAGTCTTCCAGAACCGTTCTGATGGAGAGTCCCTGGATCCGAAACGTTAACTCTGCTTCTCTCTCCACAGATGCTGCCAGACCTGCTGAGTTTCATGTTTTTGTTTCGGAGCAGAGAGGTGACGCTGGAAGTGTATAAAAGTGACCTGACCTGACGAAGGGGCAGTGCTCCGAAAGCGTGTGGTTTCAAATTAAACCTGTTGGGCTGTAACTTGGCGTCGTGTGACCTCTGACCTTGTCCACCCCAGTCCAACATCGGCACCTCCACTTTGTAAAACATCGGACACAGCATGGGCACAGGCCCTTTGGCCCACCGTGTGTGTGCCGACCGTGATGCCATTCTAAACTAATCCCACCTGCCTGCACATGGTCTGTGTCCCTCTACTCCCTACCCATTCATGTTTCTGCCTAAATTTCACTTAAATGTTGCTATTGTATCACCTCCCCTGGCAACACGTTCCTGGCACAACACCCTTTGTGTAATTAAAAACCTCATGTATCTCTTTTAAACTTATTTCCCCGGTTCCTCACCCTAAACCTATACCCCCCATAGTATTTGAAACCTCTATCCTGGTGATACAGACTCTCCCTGTAGCTAATAGTCTCCAGTCCAGGCAACATCCTGGTACAACCCTTTTCCTCCTCTCCACATCCTTCCAATAGTGTGGTGACTAGAACAGCACACAGCTCTCCAAATGTGGCCTCACTGAAGTCTTATAAAGCTGCAAAATGACTTGCGTACTTTTGAGCGCCCCGGCCAATGAAGGCAAGCGTGCCATACGCCTTCTCTCCAATCTTATCCACTGGTGTTGCCACTTTTGGGGAGCTATGGATTTGGACCCGAAGATCCCTCTATACGTCAATAAAACAAAATCTTGGGTGGGCCACGGCTAGTGTATTGTGTGCGACTCTGGAATCCACGTTATAGTGCCAACCCGTTGCTCCTATAGAGACATTTGCCAGGATCAGAAACAGAAACTCAGCAGGTCTGGCAGCATCTGTGGAGAGTGAGAGCAGAGTTCATGTTTCGGGTCCTTCGTGGCCCACCGTTAGAGCAGGACAGTGAGCTGTCTCTCTGGAGGCTGGGCTTTGAGGTGCACGAGACTGAGCTGAGCCTGTTGTTGACTCCCTGTTTGTGTTTTTACCTGTTAGACATTCGCCACCCTGAGGAACTATCGCTGCTGAGACCTCCAGACGACCCCAACCAGAGGAAGAAGAAGAAAGAGAAAGAGAACGAGCCCGAGGAGGAGGTGGTGGATTTGGAAAGTCTCACCCCAACTCCGGGAACACAGAGTAATGAACCCTTAAACACCTTCCGGCCTCGACACCCGAGAGAGAGAGAGATTTCAAACCCATCAGTTAAATCGAGTCTTTCCTAATTTGCAGGCGGGTCGAGCTAGGCAGGAATGCGAGCTGATGGGACAATCCAGAGGGAATTCAGGAAGCTGAGCAAGGGGTGAACATGTGGAGAA